GCAATGGCAAACCTCCTCTGAATCAGTCTTGCCAAGAAAATCCCAGGATAGGATCACCTTAGGGTTCTCTTCCTCCTCCTCCTGCCTCGCTACCCCTGTCCTCCTCCATCCTCCTCTCCTCCCAAGGCTTCTTCTCGCCCCCACCTCTGTCCTCCTCCATCCTCCTCTCCTCCCAAGGCAGCTTCCCTCTCGCACCTCTGTCCTCCTCCTCTTCCTCCCCCCTCCTTATACCCAGCATATAAGATGACCCCTGACTTTAACCCCAGATTTTCCTGGGTTAAAAAGTCGTCTTATACACCGGAAAATACGGTATATTGCTCCAGAGGATTCTCCAGCCTTGTTGTTGTATGCCTTCAAGTTGTTTCTGACTAAGGGCAACCCTGAGGCTGTGGACCTATCATGGGGTTTTCTTGGCAAGTTTCTTCAGAGAGGGATTGCCATTGCCATCCTCTGAGGCTGAGAGAGTATGACCTAATAGGTTTCCATGGCTGAGATGGGATTTGAACCCTAGTCTCCAGAGTCATGGTCCAGCACTGAAACACTACCTTGCTGGCTCTCTCTCCAGCTCACAGGAGGGCTTTTAAAGTGTGTTTTGTATCTGGAAGCACCTTAGTACTTGTGTGGCTATTGTTAAACTTATTCATCAACTTATGTAAGTGAATCTTTAAACTAGTGGATAATATATAATATACAGTTATCAACAAATTGATTATTGTAGCTGTAGCTTTTGTGAACAGTACGTTGTCTTTGAAAGGACAGGTGTCTTTCCTGGATCATTTTGCTAAGACCTGATTTTTAACCTGAAGGATGGCACTGAAAATTTTTACATGTCTCCATGTTTGATATATCAGAACTTTTATATATTCCAGGCTAAATGTTGTTCAATATGCAAATGGATCTTGTAGCATCTTTGATGCTGACTGAAAGAGAAAAGTTAATAGTATGGACTTTCATAGACTTAAATCTAGTTCCTCAGATGCATTCTGAGGAAGTTGGCTAAAGTCTATGAAAACACATGCTAACAACTTTTCTCTTTCAGTCAGTATCATCACAGTTTCATTAATTTCATTAATACATACTAGCTAATTGCTAAAGATTTTGAACAGGGAATTAAGAACAAATACATCTTGCCATGATTGCATTTCTGTCTCAGGTATTTATGTTGATTTTTCATTTCACAGATACGAATCTCCAGAAATTGCTTTGAATTGTGGAATCATGTTAAGAGAGTGCATCAGACATGAACCACTGGCAAAAATAATCTTGTGGTCTGAACAGTTTTATGACTTCTTCAGATACGTGGAAATGTCAACATTTGATATTGCATCAGATGCATTTGCCACTTTTAAGGTAGTACATCCTTTTAAAAAAAACAACTGTTTAAATCCAAAAAAATGCAACAAAAAATAAATGAAAAGTTCATAACACTAGCCAGCAAAGTTAGCATCTACAAACTGTCATTAATAAAATCTTAATAATATTAGCAGGATATACATATATTTAAAACAAGCTTGCTAGAACATGGAGTTCTTTGTCCACCAGATACAGGGTCTTTCAGAAGCATTTTGTGTTACAACCTGGAACTGAAATAGATTTAATTGGCAGTGTTACCACTTGGTGTAGACAAGATACACAACATTGTGAAGGTGAAAAATATTGCTACTGTGGCAATGTAAACAAAAACAAATGGGCATTTCTTGAATTTTTAAAATATTCACATGCACATCCCCAAGTCAGTACTTAGCAGACGTACTTTTGGCAGCAGATACAGCTATGAGTCTTCTAGTTTTGGGTAAGTCTCTTAACAGCTCCGTGTAACTGGATCCTGGAGTTTTTGCCCATTCCTTCTGACAAGATTGTGTCAGCTCTGCTAGGTTGGATGGAAAATGTTGGTGAACAGCAAGTTTCAAGTCTTGCCACAGATTCTTAAATCAGATTGTGGTCAGGCTTTGACTTGGCCATGCATTTTTCAAACCACTCTTGTGCTAATTTGGCTTTGTGTTAAAAATGGATGTCCTGGTAGAAGTTGAACCTCCACCCTAGTCCTAGATCCCTTGCAGTCAGAAACAGCTTTTCCTCCAGAATGGTTCTGCACGTGGTTTCATTGTTCTTACCCTCCAACCTGACCAACTTCCTTGAACCTGCCAATGAAGAAACAATCCAGACACCTGATACTGTCACCACTATGCCTCACCTTGGGGATGATGTTCTTGAGGCTGTGAGCAGTATTAGCTTTGTGCCACGCATAGCATTTTATGGCAAGGCCAGACATTTCAGTTTTGATTTCATCACATCAAAGAACTGTTCCCATGTTTGCTGTGCCTCCCATATGCCTTTTGGTAA